GCCCTTGCAAGGGGGAGAGGGGGGGCCCCTTTGGCAGTTTCCCCTGCCCCCTGGCTCCCCCCCTCCCCGCACTCCGCCGGGGCTGGGCTCTCCCCTCAGTCCCTAGCCCCTCTCCAAAGTGAAGGCTGGCTGCTTTGGTTTTGAGGCATCCGCAGGACCTGCCTCCCTGCTGTCCAAGTGCCTCTGCATGCCTTGGAGGGGAAGGTGAGCACTTTTGAGTTCTGGTGGAATGAGGAACCCCTTGTGCCCACCTCCCCCCCCCCCCGTCCTGGCTTTTACTGGACTCAGCCGTGAAATCCGCTCTAGTGCCTAGGCTCAGTGTGGGCCGCAGTGGGACCTGAGCATGCACAGAGTGCATTCCACCCAAACCACAGCAGGGGGAAGGGCTTTCAGCAGTCTTGCGGGCCGGGTGAGCCCCTGCCTTCAGGCAACTGTGAAGAGCCCCCAGCTGGGGGGGGAGGGGTTCCATGAGGCCGCTGGACCAAGTCTTGCCTCAGCTGCCTGCCTTGGCGCTCTGCTTTGCTTGCTGCAGGTGGGGGCAGCTGGCCGTTTGCAGATGGCCTTTGGGGCGCAGGCGGTCTGTGCACCCCTCAGGCTAAGGAAATGGGAGGCGACATCGAGGGCAGGAATCCGGTGCTCGTGCCAGACAGGAAGGGCACACCTGGAAGGACTGGAGAGGCGGCCCCGGAGGAGGCCCTGTGCCGTGCCCGTGCCCTTGCCCTTGGAGGGAGGGTGGGGGCCGAAGAGCTCAGCGGCAGTCTCTCTGTCCCAGGCCCATTAGGGGTTTGGAGACCAAATGCAGGAGTTTCAGTTGCATCAGGGTGTGTTTCCTGGAGTGCCAGAGCCTGGGTTCCCTGGCCCAGTCTCTGCGCCTGGGTAGGAGCCGGGGACCCAGGGGCAGGGCGACTTGGGCACAGGCAGCGGGCCCCTCGTCCGGAGCCAGGGACCCTGGCTGGTGGTGGAGCCGGCCTGCAGCTCCTCTGCTCTGGAGCTCTCCAGGCGGAGTGGCCAGTCTTCCGGCTGGCCTCCGCCAAACGCGCTGGCCGGGCTCCTGGGCCCGCGTGGCTCCCTTCCCTTTGTGCGTTACCTGGCTCCGGCTGTGGCATTTTCTGGGCAGACTCAAGGAGGAGGAAAGTATTTTCCCGGAGGCCTTGGAGGGCTGCCCCCCCCCCCCGCCCTTCGCTTGACTGACTTTCTCACACTCTGTTTCCCACAGTCGGCTGGGGCTGAGTCACCGTCCTGCCAAGACCGAGAGCGGCTCTAATGAAAAGCCTTCTTCTCTCTTGTTCTCCTCGGCAAGCACACAGAGCGGCATTTTCCCTCCTCCGCCGCCGCCGCCTCCTTCCCCTACCTGATCCGCACCTGGCTGAGCCAGTCCCACACGTATCACCTGATCTCCCCCTTTCAGAGACCGTGAGAAAAATAAAGTTCAGGAAAGAAGAGACATGTTTGCTGATCTCCTCTGAGGAAGCCTTCCCAGCCGCACAGCTTGGGGAAAAAGCACACAGTCTGCTGGGGGGGGGCAGGGGCAAAACAGGGGAGCAGTGCCTTGGGGGGGGGCTGAGTCCAGTGACCCCTGGTCTGCCCTTTGATGGGGGGCGTTTGTTCCAGGACACACAGCAAAAACTAGGCTTGTGCTTTCTCTATACATCTCTGCCTGTAGGTTGCTTCTACAGTGGGGGGGGGGGGCAGTAATAGCCTCCAAAACTAGACCTGGCCCCCTTAATCCCCAGGCTTTCTGCGATGCCTTTCTTCTGCAGAATAATAGAATCAGAGGGACCTCCAGGGTCATCTAGTCCAACTCCCTCCACAAGGCAGGAAATTCACAACTACCTCCCCCTCCACACCCCGAGTGACCTCTGCTCCATGCCCAGAAGAGGGCAACCCCCCCCCCAAACCCTCCAGGATCCCCAGCCGACCTGGCCTGGAGAGAAATGCATTTACCTGGGTGGGTAAGAAAGAGCCAGGAGAACTGAGCCCTGAGGCAACCCTCCCTGTCCTCCCTTCTTGTGGTCTGCCCAAGTCCACACAATCCGCATGGCTGTCAGGTGGGGCCACCTGGCCTCTGTTTGAAAACCTCCCAAGGAGGAGGAAAGCCCACCCCACCTCCCCAAGAAGCCTGTTGTTCCACTGAGGAACCGCTATGTTTAGCCGAAAACTCTTTCTGATTTAATTTCTACCCGTTGGTTCTAGTCCCACCTTCTGGGGCAACAGAAAACAACTCAGCACCATCCTCCATAGGACAGCTGTACTTGAAGATGGTTATCATATCACCTCTCAGTCGTCTCCTCTCCAGGCTACACATCCCCAGCTCCTTCAGCCTTTCCTCTCCAGACCCCTCACCATCTTCGCTGCCCTCCCCTGGACACGTTCCAGCTTGTCTATATCCTTCTTAAACTGTGGGTCCCCAAACTGAACACAATACTCCAGGTGATGTCTAACCAAAGTGGTACCATCACTTCGTGTGATCTGGACACTACTGCTGATGCAGCCCAACATCTCATTTGCCTTTTTAGCTACCGCATCACAGTGCTGACTCACGTTCAGTGTATGGTCTGCCAAGACCTGCAGATCCTTTTTGCACATCCTACCGCCAAGACAAGTCTCCCCCATCCTATAATTATGCATTTGATTTTTCCTGCCTGCATTTCCCCTACCTAAATGCAGAACTTTACATTTATCTCTACTGAAATCCATTAAATTTCTTGTAGCCCAGTTTTCCAGCCTGTCAAGTTCATCCTGTAACCTGACTCTTTCTACTGTATCTGCAAATTTAATAAGCATCCCCTCTATCCCTTCATCCAAATCATTGATAAAGATGTTGGACAAAACTGGTCCCCGGACAGATCCCGGAGGCACTCCACTTATCACTCCTCTCCAAGAGGATGAGGAACACCATTCACAAACTTTTAACACGTCTTTTACCCGGAGATAGGACCTGCACACCAAGCGGATGCTCTACCACAGAGCTGTGGCCCCTTCCCAAAACTAATTTAGGGAACACATGAAGTTGCCTTATGCTGAATCAGACCCTTGGTCCATGAAAATCATTGATGTCTACTCAGACTGGCTGCGGCTTTCCAGGGTGTCAGGCAGAGGAAGTCTTTCAGATCACCAAATGCCTGACCCTTATAACTTGAGATGCTTCCGGGGACTGAACCTGAGACCTTCTGCATGCCAAGCAGATGCTCTCCCACTCAGCCACAGCCTCGCCCCAGTGTAGCTGATTAAAGGGGGAAAATCTGGCCGCACAAACAGGAGTTGTGGGGCCACGAATGCTCCATTTCTGTGGCACCTGACTTTGGAGGTAGCTGCTCTGATCATGAAGTTGCCCCAGCGAGTCCCAATGGCACGAAACATGCTGAGCTGCAGAAGACTCAGCCCAGCCATGGGGGAAATGAGCATGTGGCGGCAGAGAAGGGCCCTCTGCTGCAGATTAAGGGGGGGGGATAGAAGAAGAAGATTGGATTTATACCCCTCCCTTCACTACCCAAGGGAGTCTTAGAGTGGCTTACAAACTCCTTCCCCTCCGCAGAACAGACACCCTGTGAGGTAGGTGGGGCTGAGAGAGCTCTTGACAGAAACTGCTCTTTTTCAAGGACAGCTCTTATCAGAACTACGGCTTGCCCAAGGTCATCCAGCCAGGTGCAAGTGGAGGAGGAGTGGTGAATCAAACCTGGCTCTCCCAGATTAGAGTCCGTGCACTTAACCACTGCACCAAACTGGCTCTCCCCCTCTGGATAGGAAGGAGAGACTTCGAGGGAGAGCCTTGCTGAGCCAAGGGCGGTTCCCAGCTCCCCCCTTCAGTTGTGGGGCTGCTGGCCTTGCCCAAAAATACTTGCTGCCTTAAGACAGTTCCAGGTGGGGTCAGCCGTGTTGGTCTGAAGCACTAGGACAAATTTTGAGTCCAGCGGGGCACCTTGGAGACCAACAAGGGTTTCTTCAAGGTATGAACTTTCGTGTGCAAAGCACACTTCTTGTTTTCTTAAATTTTTTTATTT